GACCGTGATTGACAGGTCACATCCTGTTGTTCAGCCTCTGTTCCTGATCTCTGTAACTGACAGGTTACATCCTGTTTGCCAGCCAGACTGGGAAGCCCTGAAAACCCCTACCTCATTTATACTCTTCCCTGTTAAACACCTGTGGCTGTGTCTCTTTCTCGAGGATAGGTCTGTGCTTTCAGACTACCAATTTTCCCACTGGGTGAGGAGTGCTGCAGTTGCCCCACTCTCCCTCCAAAATTGAGGTGACTAGTCTTCACATTAGTGACTGGGGGCCATCTCCAGAAAAATGTGATTTCTCCTTGCATTTCCCTGGTGGCTTATGACCTTGAGCACTTTTTCATGTTCTTATTGGTCACTTAGATATCTTAACTGGTGAAGTAACTTCTCAAATCTTTTCCTCACTTTCACTGGATTTTTCATTCTTTTAGAGTTCTCTATATATCCAGAACGCCATTCCTTTGTCAAGACTATCTTCTGTGAATTACTTTTCCTACTCCTTGGCTGCCTATACATTTTCTTAACAATGTTTCTCATGAGCAGAAGTTGTGAATTTTGGCAGTTCAGAAGTTGCTGAAATTTTGCTTATCAGTTTTTTCATTTCTACTTACACCTTTTCTGTGGGACACCAAAAAACCCTCTCACTACCGCCACACTGTGATAATTTCTCCTGTATTTTTCCATAAATCTTTGGTGTTTGAACTTTTCCTTTTATGTTTATGAGTCACCCACACCAAGTTTGTGTACAGTATAGGGTGAGCCAAGTTCTTGCCTTCCGCCACTGTCAAAAGGAATGCCCTTTCCTCATCACATTGTTCGATGTCTTAACAGAAAATCATTCCACTGTGTGAGTGTGGGTCTATTGTGGACCACTCCTGTGTGACTGGTCTATCTTGGACTCCTCCTAAATGACTGTGTTCTTTTCTGTATTTTTTGTTTTGTTTTGTTATTGTTTGATTTTTTGTTTGTTTGTTTGTTTGTTTTGTTTTGTTTTTTGACAGTCTTTACTCTTGGACCACATTGTCTTGATAGTTGTGGCTTTTTAGTAAGGCTTCAGTCTGATGAGGTGAGTCCTCAAGATGCCTCTGAATACTCCACATTAATTACATTCTGATATAAATTTTAGAGTAGATTTTTCAGCCTTTACAAAAGGAGAATCTGCTGGGATTATGATTGTCATTATGCTTTTCAAGCCATTGTAAAATATTTTTTATTTTATTTTCCAGTGCTTTCCTGTTAATATATGACTATAAAATTGGTATTTGGATATTAATCTTACTACTTTCTAAATTCATCTCCTAATGCTAATAGTTGTAGATTCTACAGACTATTGCATGTAATCAGTCATGTTATCTGCAAAAATATGTTTGCTTCACCTGTTATCTGATATAAGTTTTCCATAAATGCATTTTACAAGCTGAGGAAATTGCCTTCCATTTCTAATTTATGTTTTTTTTGACAAATATGAATTAATTTTATCTTTTTCTGAACCTATTGAATACTGTGTTCTCCTTGCTGTGTTCATATGTTGAGCTATGTTCACTGATTTCTGTGGATACCAAACTAGCTTTGCATCTTTTAGCTCAATCAAATCATAATGTTTGGCCTTTGCAAGACGCTTCTAGTTGTCATTTGCTGATACTTTCTTAGAGCAACTAGTGTCTGTGGTCATGAGGGACAGTACAGTGTAACTTTGTTTCAGTATCTCTGTTTGGTTTTGAGGTCAGACACTGCTAACCTTGTAAAGAAATTAGGAGGTGCCTCCCTTTTTCAGATATGAGAGTGGTGTTATTCCTTCTGTGGGTGTGTGGTCAAACTTACCAGCCAACCTGCCTAGTAAATGTTTCTAGTTATTGAATCAATTTTTATTAGACATTGGATACAGAGATTTTCTAATTCTTCTTGTTTAATTTTGTTAATTCGCATTTTTCCCAAGGAATTTATCCATTTCATCAGTTTCTGAATTTTTTGGTATGTAGCTCTTTATTATACCATTTTATTATTTTTTTCAATATCTATAAGGTATATAACATTACCTCCTCTTTCTTAATACTGGTAATTTGTCTTCTATCTTTTTCTCTTTTTTCCTTCCTCAATCTAGCTAAGAAGTTTTGGAGTTTTCTTTGTTCTGTTTTGTTTTTTCATGGAACCATCCTTCACAACTTTTCTCTTGTCTTTATCATCATCTTCCTATGGCTCCTTTGGGTCTAATTTGATCTCGTATTTTTCTATCATTAAACTGGAATTTTATGTCACTAAATTTTAGATCTTCCCTTTTTTTCAAATACAAGCATTTAAAGCTATACATTTCCCCATACGCCCTGCTATAGCTGTATCCCAAAAATTCTGGTATGTTGTATCTTCTTTATCATTCTACTTAGAATCATTTCTGAATTCCTTTGTGATTTCTCCTTTGATCCATGAATTATTAACAAGTTTGTCGTTAAATCTACAAATGTTTGTGTTTTCCTTATTATGTTATTGTTGTTAATTTCCTATTTAATTTAGTTATAGTCAGAATATACTCTGCATAATTTAAGTCCTTTGAATTGTTGAAGGCTCACTTCGTAGCATATCATGTCATCCATCACGGTATGCCACTTGCTCTTGAAAAGAATGTGTGGAGACCGCTGTTGCGTGTGATGATCTATAGCAATTAGGTGAAATCAGTTATTATTCTTCACATCTTCTATTCCTTTACCTGTGTTTTGCTTAGCTGTCCTATCACTAGCTAAGAGAAAGGGCTTAGGGTCACCAGTTATGATTTTGGAATCAGGTATTTCTCCTTTCATCTTGTCAACTTTGATTTAAGTATTTGGAGCCCTTTCCTGGGTACATCCTGACAAGCACTGCAATGGTGAGAGAATGCCAGCTTTCTCCCAGTGCCACAAAACCCACTTTATCTGGTGATAATATGACTGCCCCAGACTTTTGGGGATCACAGATGAATGAGAACAAATGGCTTTTTCTATCCACTCTGTATTTTCATTTTTAAAGTGCTCCTGTTGTAGACCACACATAGCTGGGTCTTTTCCCCCCCTGTTCTGACAATCTCTGCCTTTGAACTGGATCTTTTAATCCATTCAAATTTAATAGAATTTTAGTTTGAATTGGTTCTCCATTTTATTCTGCTTTCATTCTGTTTTTCTTAAGAATAGGAAGTACTTATTGAGAGAAAGAAAGCTTCCCTCTAAGAGAGACAGAAGGGGTCCCAAGCGAGTAGCCGGGGACCCCACTTCGCAAGGGAGTTTTATAGAGTAAAACCACAAGGTGAGGTATGTCTAAGGTGGAACAGAACTACCATCAACCAATAAGATTACAAGTATTTTCTTTCTATTTTTAACCTCTTTCCTTCTTGTTTTGTTTTGCTCATTCCTCCTTTTATTCCTTCTTTTGGGTTGTTTTAATATTTTTTGTTTTTATTTATAGCTTCCTTTCTATTAATGTCTTGCAGACTTTAGGGATTAAAACCCACAGGCTTTTCACAATCCATGTACAGTATAAAGTTACTACCTCCTGTAAAGAAGAGGAACCTTGTTACGTAGGACCATCCCCCTGCTACCTTTTGTGCTGTGCTATATGTCACCCCTATATAAATTATAAACTCCACGCAGTGGTGTTAAAACTCTCTCTTTAAACAACCAAATGTATTTTTAGTAGTGCATATTAGTATTACAAAATGGTGGAGTTGGGTTGGGGAAGTTGGTCATGTATCTTGATAGTCTTCAATCCCATTACCACCTCTCCTTTTATTTCCCACCTATCTCCTTCCCTGTCTCCAAAATCTACCTTTTGGTTTCCGGTCATCTCTCCTTTATTTTATTCATTTTTTTTTTGTTCATTTATTTGTGTTCTCATGAAAGAGGAGGAAACATGGCATTTTTAGCTTTCCAAGTCTGTCTAATTTCATTTAACATGATGGTTTCTAGTATTTTGAAGAAATTAAGAGAAAACAATTTTTTCAGTTACCCAGTAATTAACATTTCTATCCTTTCCCCTAGGTACAACATCCCTCTGACTGGGGAACTAAATGTAACATTTCTCAAAGCATGGTTTGGCTGAGGACAAATTCTCAGTTACATTTTTGTCAGGAAATTTATTTCACCTCCATTCTTGTAGGCCATTTCTTTAGCTACAGAATCCTAGGAGGTGAAGATTCCCTGGGGGCCTCCTACTCCTACCCTTTGAATGTGAGGGCTCATTACTGTGCTTTCTGGAACAGCACACCCTGCTCTTCAGGTGTGTTGTAATCCGCAGGAGGGTTGCCCCTTCTCATAAATGTGCCCACAGTGGCCCTTTCAATAGGTCACCCATGGCTGAGCAGAGGGGCCATCTCTGGGTACCCTTGGTGTCAGAACCAGTGTGCCCTCAGCCCCATACCCAAGGCACACAAGCTCTAGGCTGGGTGTATCTGACATTTGATCATCCCTGGTGAAGTCCTCCTAATTCTCATGGGGATGAATGCTGTCCCTCCAGGACACTGGCCCAGGGGAGAACAACTTGCCTCAGGAGCTGCACAGGGTTGGAAGGGCCCAAATTCCTCACCCTGAGATATTTGGTGGAGCTGAGGCTGACCCACAGAAGTGAGGAGTTTGACCTGGGTTCTGGCTGAGGACAAATCTAGAAGGAACCAAACTGAGTCACCAGCACCTGGCCCAAGGGATCTAAGTGATCTCACTCAGTGTCTCCCACAGCCTGTCCTTACTAGGGACGGGCTTGCTCTAGCCCTCTGTGCCTGTCCCACTTCCACCAGGGTCTTTGTAATGTCTCTGGCTGAGTCTGCAGCAGATTGGAGCTCCACAGGCTCATGCCTCCCACAGGCACCAGCCAGCCCACCAGGCAGCCAAGTGGCCAGGACCCCTCCATCAGGCTTGTGCTTCTCTGTCCTGAGGGACTGCTTGGCCCAGGACCCCTCAGCCATCTATTTGCACCAAGGAAGCAGAAAGACAACAGTGGACTCAGGTATTCCCAAGGAGTCAATGCCTTCTGCTTTCTGGCAGGTTTTACCTCATCAGTGGAGGCATCCCTTTCATCATCTGTGGGGTCACGGCTGCCACAAACATCAGTAATTATGGGATTGAAGATGAGGACACAGCATAGTGAGTACTGAGTTCTAGCCACCCACAAGACAGCAGGGGTTGGGAGGGTGGAACCACTTGCTCACTCCACACCAGGGAAGGGTGGCAGGACCCCTGCAAGGACATGATTATTTCCATGCCCAGATGCTGGGTGGGGAAAAGCTGGTCTCCACAAGCATCCAATGGGGTCAGTCTGGGTCAGTGACTCCCCGAGGTGCCCCTGGTGAGAAAGGAGCAGCAAATCCTGGGCCCAAGGGGCCACTCAGAACTATGGCTCCTCTCCCCTTCCCCTGGACATGTAGAGCTGTCTCCTCTCTACAGACTGTTTCCTGCTAAATCTCTTTGCCTGGACACCAAAGGCCTGGTTTTCTTTAGATAGGAAGGGCCTCACAGATAATGATTCAGCAGCGGCCCTGAGGTCAGCTGAAAATGGACACCCTAACCTTGAGCATGAACAAACCCACTCCCCCTCACACCCTGTCCATGCTCAGAGCTCTGGTCAAACCCCTCACACTCAGACCACCATGCCCACCTTCTCCCTGTGGCCCAGAGCATCCAGTCCTGCCATTCAAGCCCTAAAGCCCCCCGAAGTTCTTCTCACTTCAGCCCCACTCTCCTCCCCCATCCATCGTTGCTTCTGCTTTCTTCCAGTCCACGTTACTTTCCTGTCACTTCCCCTCACCTCCCAGGCTGGCAGGGCTGGGATCAGGCCCCAAACTTCCATCTAGTGACATCTGAGCTGTCAGTGACTGCTCCAGTTCTGTCCCCATTAGCCAATGCCTACACCTCTCCCCTGACCCATCTCAGATGCTCTGGCTTCTTTCCTTTTCTATCTGTTTCCTTCCCACAAAATTAATCCAACACACTATAGAAACCCTCCTTAGTCTGTCCAACCATGCCCGCACTGACTGGCATCTCCCTGCAGCTGCTGGATGGCCTGGGAGCCCAGCCTGGGTGCGTTCTATGGGCCGGCTGCCTTCATCGCCCTGGTCACCTGTGTGTACTTCCTCGGCACCTACATCCAGCTGCGGCGCCACCCTGAGCGCAGGTATGAGCTCAAAGAGCGCACAGAAGAGCAGCAGCGGTTGGCAGTACCGGAGGGAGGCCACTGCCATGGAGTGCGGCCCGGTACCCCAACTGCCTGCGATGCCCTGATGGCCTCACAGCTGCAGAACGAGCACTCCTTCAAGGCTCAGCTGCGGGCCGCTGCCTTCACACTGTTCCTATTCACGGCCACATGGACCTTCGGGGCACTGGCTGTGTCTCAGGGCCACTTCCTAGACATGATTTTCAGCTGTCTGTATGGAGCCTTCTGCGTGACTCTGGGGCTCTTTGTGCTCATCCATCACTGCGCCAAGCGGGAGGACGTGTGGCAGTGCTGGTGGTCTTGCTGCCCTTCCCGTGGGGACGCCTCCACCACCAAGCCCAGCACTCACCCTGCACTCGATGCCAATGGAGACATACTGGGGCACACCTGCCTGCAGGACTCACCGGGTCCTGGCAACCCAAGAGGCTTTAGCCACCCACCCACTGGCCACTGCAAGATGACCAACCTGCAGGCTGCCCAGGGCCATGTCAGCTGCCTCTCGCCAGCCACTCCCTGCTGTGCCAAGATGCACTGTGAGCAGCTGATGGAGGAGGAAGCCCATGTGCACATGCCTGAGGAAGCCGCCTTCCCACACAACCCAAACTTGCACAGGTGCCTCAAGGGCCGAACTAAGCCTCACTACTTCAGCCAGCACCAGGCAGCTGCCACTGAGCACGAGTATGCCTACCACATCCCCTCCAGCCTAGATGGCAGCCCCCACAGCTCACACACAGACAGTCCCCCCAGCTCTCTTGAGGGTCCCATGGGGGTGCACACGCTGGCCTGCTGTGCCCAGGGTGACCCCTTCCCTATGGTCAGCCAGCCTGAGTGCAGTGACACCGGTCCTGCACTCTACGGCTGTCCCCCAAGGCTGCCTCCAGGCCCCGCCCACTTGGAGATGCTCCGGAGGACACAGTCCCTGCCCTTTGGCGGCCCCAGCCAGAATGGGATGCTGAAGGGCACTGTTCAAGAAGGCCTGTCATTCAGCACGGATGGGACGGGCAACATCCGAACAGGTCCCTGGAAAAATGAAACTACTGTGTAATAGGGACAGGAACACATCACCCTCACCAGTACCACCATGTCCCTGGAGGAGCTTCAGAGCAAAGAGGGGACCCATTTGCCACATGAGGTTGGTAGGGAGGCTCACCAAAATGACAGAGCCTTTCAGAAGCGGCTCACACCTTGGAGCTGTGTCCCCTTTGTTGTGAAAGATCCCAGCAGGAAAATGCTTTGGGCCACACCTGCCTCTGTTAGTCCCAAAGTGGAATGTGACTGTCCACATACTGTCACCCGCTTCCTGTTTGTAGCATCCCATCTCCAGGGAAGCCCAGGAACAGAGTACAGGATTCTATCGAAGAAGCCACCCCAGACCCCAGCACAGGGCCCTGCACCTATGCTGTATTGCTGGGTGATAATCCAAGCAGCCTCGCCAGAGGCTCCATCTGATACTTCCTGGCATTGTGTGCGTGCACAGGTGTGTGTGTGTGTGTGTGTGTGTGTGTGTGTGTGTGTTAAATTTTGTTCCAGGAGCCATAGTGGCCAATTATCAAGAGCATTCTCCCACTGGGAAGTTTCCATAGGTCCCTTCCAGTATCCTTGTGTCTGTGTCACACCAGCATCCTCCCCTGGCACTTCTGCCGTCTCACCTAACCCTAACCCCTAACAACCTGAGAGCATCTTGGATGCTGGGGGATGGGGCCCCCATACCGCCTCTGGTCACGGGCTCTTGGGGGCCCATGCGGATGCCCAAGCACTTCTTAATGGAGACTCAGCTTCCAGACCCAGCCACTGTCAGGACTGGACTGCACTCCGCTCCATCGGGGGCACTTCTCTGTTCCACAAAGAAGAGGAGCTGACTGAGGTGACAGTTATCAGAGACAAAATTTCTTTTTCTCTTTTCATTTTCATCTGGGCACAGAGCCCCAAATCAAAGGACAGATGTTGATGACAATGAGCCTTTTGTGAAAAGAAGTAGCCTGTCCCAGGAAGAGTTCCCATTGAGGCTGGAGCATCTGTGTTCAGAGGGGCATGCCTATGGGACTGTGCACAGGCATTCCTCCTTCTGTCCTCCCAGCCTGTGGCACATGTGCGCACACATGTATACACACATACATGCACACAAGCACATATGCGTACACTACACACCTGGACACATACATTCACACAGTGTGCATACCACAAACATGCACGGGTACACACAGGTACATGCACATGTACTGCAAAGTGCACATGCACACACTTGCAGAACAGGCATGTGTATGAGTGTACGTATGCACATAGTACAAAACACACATGCATACCTCTATGTATCTACCTGTGCAACACACATGTGCACACATACTGCAGTGTATACATATATACACATGCACACATGTGTATACACATTTACACAGGTACCCACACACGTGTGTGTTTTCTATCCACCCAACCCCTGGGTTTTCATTGCAGATGCTCATGTCAGCATCAGGATTAGTGTCACTGTGACTCGTCAGTGTGCTCTGCTGTTGGGACAAGGGGCTTCACCAGGAGCAGAACCGTCCCTGAGCGTGCCTCGGAGGGGAGAGCGTGAGGCGTGCTGCAGCACCTTCCAGGGGGGCACACTCTTCAGTGCTGCAGTGGGAAGTGCCATCCGGAGCCCAATGCTCAGTATCTGAGTAAGGAGCTGTCAGCCCTGACACTTATAAACTCATCTGTGACATTGTAACTTACTGCAGCTTGCTGCACCCAACACAGACCCCATGTGTCCTTACAGGTCAACCAACAGACAACCAATGACCTCTGGGTGTTTTAAGTTCCTGTCACTGTCCAGGCTTGTCACCTGCTTCCGTAGCTGATGCACACAGAACACAAGCCTATGCTGTGTGCACACTGTAGATGCAGACTGTCCGATGAAAATACAGTATTTTGCATTGTTTGTCCTTGGTGAGGCTGGTCAATAGCATCCTGTGTGTGTTTCTTGCCCTTGACAGGGGACAATGGTCCAAGTGGGGCTGGGACCCCAAACAGATTGCTCCCTTGGGCTGTGGTCCCTCACACCCTTTCTGCCCTCCACACCCCTGGCAGAACAAAGAGGGCACCTCACCATTCAACCAAAGAAATTCAGCATTAAATATTGAACTTCATTGTGTTTTGATATTGATTTAGCCTTGTGAGTCCACCTGAGACCAGTGTTGTGACACATCCCATGTACGTGTCCTCTTTGGGGAGTACGAAGATTCCCAGCATAACTGTATGGAGGAGCACGCAGCATGGAGCCAGCCTGCACAGGACACGGGTCAGGAAAGCAGACCCCAGCCCTCTGTCTCAGGTGTTTTTGTGTCCCTTCCTTCTTTTGTGAGTGTCCATGTGGATACACATGTAGGTGTGCTGCCTGCATGTGTGTGTTGTGTCTTTGTGAGCTGTGCGTGGGTCCTATGGATATGAACACCCATGGTTGTGAGGATGTGTGTGCCTGTGTTTGTGAGGTTGTTGCAGGTGTGCATGTGTGTCTGCACATGCGTGCACATGTGCACTCTAGAAAGAAACAGTATGAGAAGGCATCCCCCCCCCCTCTCTGCACACGTACTAACTCACAGAGGTGACATCTCTACCACACAGGGAAGCTGTAACAAGTTTAATGGCCTGAAGTATACAGGAAAGTGAAAGTCCCCTGTGCCGTAGGACATGGGTGGCTCTGTGGTGATTCTAGCTGAGAAAGCTCCCAGAGGTCTATAAGCCACAAAGGCAGCTGCTGTCTTTCCTAGAAGTTGCCCTATAGCTCTAGAGAGGTCGCAGGTCTGCTCACCCAGTGCCAGAGCTGGTTAGGTAGATTAAGAGCATCTCTCTGGCCCTTAACTCCTCTGTGAAGCTCTCTGAACAGCCTCTGAATGAGTCATTCTTGTGAGGGCTTGGAGCAGCTAAAAGGCCCCTGGGGTTTCTAGTAAGGAGTGTTTTAAGTTCCTGTCACTGTCCAGGCTTGTCACCTGCTTCCGTAGCTGAGATTCTAAGAGACACAGGAGGCCAAGGACAGTTCTCACCTCCCCAAGGATGGTCAGTTATCTGTCAGAGGGATGGGCTAAGGAGTAGCGTCAAGATGAGACCTGCATGCCTTCTTCTGCATAAGCAGCTGCCCTGGGGGCGTCCAAGTTGCTCTGGGCTCTAGTGTCCCAGGAAATGGAGGCAGCTGCAAGAAGTTTGTCTAGCCTTCCTACATGTCCTTGAGATTTTTCATGTCTTTAGGTGGATACTGCCAGGCTCTGCATGGTCCTCAGCCTGGGACAAGGGGTATCTGCTGGCCCTAAGGAATGCTGAGCCCTCCCCAAGGCCCACAGATCCCCAGGACATCTTCCCATTACACTTCCTCAACCATGGCTGTTGCCAGGATTTGCATTTGAGGCTGAAGGCCTCGGTAACACCTTGACTTTGTGAATCATTATCAGGCTGAAACATTGCTTGTTATGGTCACAACCAAAAACTGTTCTGTAGACTGAATTAGGAATGGCAGAGCCTCTGGCCATGATGGAAGCCAGATCTGCAGGAGTAGGGTGTGCCCAAGGAAGGCAGGGATGAGGTAGGAAAAAGAAGGATGAACACCAGACACCTGGTGCAGGGCAGAGGCAGAGCCCTGATAAGCATCTGGTGAGGCCATACAGGGATGGCCAGCAGAAGGGCCAAGTTGGAAGGTCTCAAGGCAAAACCTGAGCAGCCACCTGAATCCCTCAGCCATTCAAAGGAATGCACAGAGCAAGAAATAGACCACAGAGGCCAGGCATGAGGGAAAGGTCCATCCCTGGGCCACTGCTAGAAGACCCCCCCATTCCCACTGTGTGTTGAGTCAGGCTTCAAGGGGCTCAGCAACAGAACGACTGTACCACCACAGGCTCCACCAGCCTGACTCCTGTGGGTCCAGAAGGAGGAGGTGCTGGAAGGGGCAAGGATTCATGTGGGCAACTCCCACTGCCCATGGCCAACTTCCAGAGCCTCCTGGGCTGTGGAGCCACTGGCTTAAGTACAGATGCATCTGCCCCATAGTCAACCCTCCAAAGCCCAGGACAGAGGATGCAGACAGCCTCACCAGGCTGTGGCCCAAACTCACAGAAGCTCCAGTGCACAGCAACACCATGAACATCCCAGAACCAGGCCGGTGTTGGCAACTTATCTTTGTGTGTCCTGCACATCACCCGGCACCAGGGGCCACAGGTTGTCCCCATCTCCCCAGGCTGAAATATGGGTGCTGAGAGCAACACTGTAAGAAGATACCCTTAAATTATTTTAACTCAAATTATTTTAACTCTGCATACATGCCAACACCTTCCCAGTTTAACAACAAGCACAGTCCTTTCTTCACAATTTAAACTCTAACTGTTCCCCTGGCCTAGCCCCTTTGAGGGGAGCCCTGCTGGTCAGCACTGTGTTAATCAGCTTTCTATCCCTATAACAAAATAGTTGAGATAATAAACATAAAATAAGAGGGTTGGTTTGGCCTACTGGGTTTTAGAGGTTCTAGTCCACAATCTGAGGTCCATTGCTCTGGGCGTCTGCTAAGGATGCCAAAGCAGTGATGGGGAGCACAGGGCAGAGCTAACAACTCATACGAGCTAGGAAGCAAAAAGGAAGAAGGAGGGGCTTGGGACTCAAAATCCCCCACTAGGGCATGACCCAATGACAAAAGGACCTCCCATCCCATGAGGCCCCACCTCTTGAAGATCCACAGCACCTCCCAGTGGCACAACCCTGGGGACCAAATCGTTACATGTGGACCTTTAGGGGACACACACAAACCACAGCAAAGACATTGCAGTTGGGGCAACAGAGCTCAGGTCCTCCCTGACCACAGATGTTATCACCCTATCCTCAGAGCAGAGCCCCCTCCCTGGGTATATTGGTGGAGAGAGTTAACAAGACCCAGGGTGAGCATTCATGTCAGCATGTACAAGGTGGTCTACATCTCAGCACATGCTGAAACACATGAGCACTTGATGTTTGTGGCAAGGCAGACAGTGATATTCACAGTCAAGGCCACAGAGAGTGTGTGCTGGGTCTGTCATGCTGGACTGTAGAGTTGTGGTCTGCATCTTGGCGCAGGGAGGTCTGCTAATTCAAACCCTGTCTCCACAATCTGCATCTCTGCAGGAAGCCTAGTGCAGAATGCTGGTGTTAGGTAAGTTGCCTGGGCAAGGACCCTCGGCCTTGTTGCAGGGTCCAAGGATTGAGTGCTTCAGTGGAACAGGAGCAATGACTTGCACCAGATGAGTATCGTTAAAAATCTGTCCTGTGACACTTGCTATAGCATGGAAGGACAGATTTTTTCAAGACCACCACAGCAGGCACACAGCTTACAGTAAGGGAGGAGACTGGGCTCTACGTGAACATGTGCAGCCAGATAGAAGTCAGCTCCCTCACTGGTGCCGAGTACAGCACGGAGGTTCAAGAGCCAATGTGCTCCCCAGTGGAGCGCACCTCTTCCCACCAGGTATGAGGATTTAGAAGCAAATGAAGATGCAAAGTGGTTTGGACTTCAATTCCATTCTCACGTAACCAGGCTGAAGATGATCAAGATTGACAATAGGTGGATGTCTGCAGCAATGATGTGGTGGGCTGGGTGACACATCACAAGACTACAAACACTGTTGAGAAATTCTCATGCACTTGGAAGAGACGGGGGGTTGCGGAAGTGCAGCCACCCATGTGTCCCCCAGTATATTTAGTGGGGCCTGACAGGTAAGGCCCCCTTGAGGGCAGGTGAGGCCCATACCGTCTAGGGCCTTTTCAGGTAGAGGCATGCTGCCCAATGTGCCCTCCTCCTCTGCTCTCACCACTGCTGCCCACCAGCAGTCATCCCTGCCCCCGTGACCTCCCCAGCACATCTGCCTACTCTTCCAGTAGCATCAGCCCCAACCCCACTTACCACTCCCCAGTGGGACCTATGTGTCACAAAGCAAAATGGGGGGTCAGGGAGGGCTGATCTGGGCTGCAAAGGGCACTGAAAGCCTGGGAGTGGATATGTCCTGTCTCAGAGAGAGGCAATGGCCTCACAGTGCAGCCACACATCAAACCCACCAAGCTGTGCACTTCAGCAACATGCAGCGTACTGCACGTCACTTTTGCCTCAACAATGCTATGAGACAACTTGACACACCAGCAAGAAGTAAGGGACAGGACAGGGAGGAGTGAGCCTGGGGTACCATGCCTGGTCCATCAGCCTTCAAAGCCTCAGCTTCCTTGCGCAGTGAGAGCAGCAACAGATTTGTTTGCATTTGGGCAAAATGGTCACCTTGGGAAGTAGAATCAGGACTGCAGACTATTTTGTGATCCCCTAGGCCTCAGGCATGCTCAGGGTACTCAGGCCCCACAGTGCCACAGCAGTCCTCACACTCCCGCATGTGTCCATCTCCATCACTGCACCTGCAGAAAGGCTGACCAGCCTAGCGTGTCTTCAGATCTAGAGCCCCCTTCCCTGCTTGGCTGGGGCCTCTACATGGACACAGAGAGAAGGGATGGGGTAATGGGGCAGACGGACACCACAGAAACTCCTGTGGCCAGATTAATAAAGCTATCCAGATGCCAGCCACTAGGGGGAGTTGAGAGCCAGGCAGGCACCCCTTAGCTGCTCCGCGTATGGAGAGCAAGGAAATGGAGGAGGGAGCCGGCAGAAGCCTGCTGTAGCTTAGCGTTCCTGGGAGGAGACAGCCCATGTGGTAGTCAGCCCAGCACCTCCGGGAAGGATCACTCAGGAAAAAGAGTCCAGGACCTGAGCCTCCCTTGTAAGTTCCTCCCAGCAGACTCAGGGAAAGCCCCAGGAAGGCCACAGAGCAGGACCAGGGTAGGACCCAGACCCATCATGGGGTGCCAGGGTGCCTGAGGCAGAAAGGACCAAGCAAAGCCTAGGCCCTAAAGGAAGACAAAGAACACATATAGTCCTATGTGTTCACAGGCCTGGCCCAGGAGCCACCGGCAGTGGCCAAGTGAGGGGATGACTTCCTGGCCAGGATTTGAGGGAATATGCAGGAGACCCAAATGACCTGGGTGGGGCAGGATTCTAGTACTCAGAAGAGGGAATAGGTTTGAGTCCCAGTGCTGGTCAGGGATGGAACCAGAACCTGAGTATCATCTGTCCAGAATCAGCTCCACCAGCTGCAGTGCAGGTTTCTCAACAGCTCAT